CATTTTTGATTCTTCTATTATCCGATCCATTCTTTTCGTCTTGAATCCTATATTAAAAAAAAAAGAACGAAGTCACATGTACTGAGAATTCTTGTCCCATTCTATTAACATAAAAAAAACTAAAAAGCAAGAAGTATTTCACCGTTAAAAATCAAGTTGTATACTTAGCATAGCCAAGTCTGGCACAAGGCCGAAGTAATTGCAAACTTCATACATTTTGATCTTACTAGATAATTAGCCTCCGAAACTAAATTTCTAATCATTTCTAAAAAGATGCCATCGATTTCTTCGAAGAATGCTCAGTTCTAGATATTTTCTCCTGGGTAAAATGATGCATCTATGTCTCGCTATTAGAAAGCATGTGTTCCAGAAAGTCCCTATTAACTTCTTTATGCAGTTCCAAAACGTGAAAGGAAATGTCCACATTCTGGTCAATTTCTTTGAAAGCATTTTTGCACTTGGCATACTGGAAAATGGAGGGCTCCTTGAACTATTTCAGTAAGTCTGTCATCGGCACGGCTGACGCTAGACTCCTGGAGTGCAACACACTGCACTTTTTTATCCTCACGTTTTCAGCTGACTTGAAGTGGAGCAACTACATCGAATCTATAGCTGCATCCACTGCAAGGAAAGCTAAGCCACTGTGTCGTAAGCATCTATCTTGCACATCTACAAATCTACCATACGTCCGTGCACTGAATACTGCTGTTATATCAGGTCTGGTACAAACTAGACATCAAAGGAAATAATAATAATAATAATAATAATAATAATAATAATAATAACAATTTGAATTGAATTCGGTTTGGATAAGTATGCTGAAAACACAATTTTATGAGGATCGCTACAATAAACCTTCTCTATTAGCTTAGACCCTAGGTTAACAATCAAGGATTTAGAGCAATAAGAAGCTTATAAGTACCTCGGTGTAAATGAGGGTGAAGGATATCACTATAAAAATGAAAGAAATAGCGCAAAAAGAGTAATATAGAAGCGTGAGATTGATATTAATAACTGAATTGAATTCTCAGAACAGAAACATGACTATATATGACTTAACAGTCTTGCCATCCCAGTGGTTCAGTATACTTTTAACATCATCAACTGGACTCAGATATCAGACAAATGGAATGTAAGACAAGACAGCTTCTTTCTAAGTGTAACATGCATAAACCAAAGGCTGATACAGACTGTTAATAGATAACCCATAAAAAAGGTGTAAGAGGTCTTATTCAGCGAGAATTTTCATACAAGACAACAACTATTGGTTTACTAACATACATGGAAACAACAAAGGATTGGGTGATACAATTAGTCAAACAACACGAAAACAGAAAACAAATATTTACTCATGAAAGAAGATTGTAAATACAAACGAGATTTACATTTAGTAGATTCTGTAGAAAGCCAAAACAGAACCCAAAAACCAACTGTTGCAGCAAAAAATATGAAAAAGAAAGCCAAGAATAAAATCCTGGAACAAGTGAAACAACGCTAGCAAGACAAACCTCTATACGGCTAATATCCAGAACGTGCTAAAAAAGCCGACTTTGATAATGTTAACAGTCATCGATGGTTAACAGCCTGGATTAAAGGCTGAAACAGAAGGCCTTATTTTTGCAGAAACTTTCAGGCAAATATCACACATAATAATGTGGATCCAAAATGCCGGTTTTGTGACAAATATTAGGATCTAATCGCAGGATGTTTTGTACTTGTGCCGAATGGATATAAAAATCGTCACGATACAGTGGAATAATATTTACGCTAAAAAATGTGCAAACACATTATAAAAGATATTAATAAACATTGATATGAAGATCACTCAGCACCGGTTACAAAAAAGGAAGGTATCACAATTCTATCTTTACAGACAGGAAGATTGAAGCAAATAGGCCGGGCATAAGTGTCAAAAACTGAAAAGAAAAACTTGGCTACTAATTGATAGGGTTTGAATAGCAGACTATCACATAGCAAAGGAATTTGAAAACTGTCGAAGTATAAAGACCTTAGAAATCGTAATCGAAATAAAAATTGGAAATTTAAAAGAATAATAATACAAGTCATATTAGGTGCGCTTGGAATGATGAAAAAAGGAACGCAACAATGCATTGAAAAAAAATCCCTGTAAATCCCAGATTAAGAGAAATACAAAAAAAATGTCTTGGTAAGTGCAGCCCTAGACATTAAGAAGAACTTAGTCCATGTAACGCTGGTGATGTTATAGGAGTTAGAAAAACATTTCAGGAAATGTAGCCACTGCATGCCTTAGGTCTTCCCGCAGACTTGGTAGGTAGTCTGACCATAGTAGGCGTCGAAATAATAATAATAATAATAATAATAATCCTCATTTCACGATTTCCGAAAAAACATGCAGGACCGTATGACTACGATTCTCACTAGGTGTCTCATACTAATCTTAGTAAATATCGACATTCGTACGAGATAAAACTAAAACATTACAAACATTTTTAATCACATTAATCCAATCAAGGCTATAAAGCCACTAAGACGCAAGAAGTTATTGATCGTGAGAGAGTATAAGAAAAAATATTAAGGAGAGCGAACAATAAAAAAAACAGGCATTAAAAAGACAGGAGAATGCATTTAAATGTTTGAAGATCAAATTTGACTGGAAAGCAAGAAGCCGGAAAAATTTGCACAAGCGGGAAAATGGATAGAACTTACAGTTACATCTAGCCATTTCAACTACAAAACGATAGGACCTTGCCACCAATTTAGTACTGCCTAGCACCAAAGTGGAAAACTCATCAGAGTATTTACCATGAAACTATTTTGGGAAATGGCACAGAGAAGCTACGTTACGGAAGTGGGAAAGTGATTGAGGCCGATTGCAAATCTTTCTTTGTATTTGACATATCTGTCACACCAATTTATGTAACAGAAAACATGCTTTTTTTTTCTCTTATGGAACCTTCATCTCTTTTTGCTGTCGTCTTGTCAGATAGATGTGTTTTCTATAGCGTGAAATGACTTACGCTTTCTTATATCTAACTTATCACTCAAGAAATTCATGACAATAAATTAAGTTTAAAACCTGTTATCAACATTTTTTTTTATTTTATTTTCGATATGCTTTTCGATTATTTCCAGACTTGCTTCGTAAAATAGAAAAGTTTTTTTATTGAATTTGGAGATAAAGTAAGCTATTTTCAAAAGTTCAACTCTACTGTCGTGTTTTGCTTTATTATTCCTTGGATCTTAATTTCCTTATCAGTAGGTTCGTTATTGTTTACGTTTGAGAAAGATTTTGCAATGATCGCATAAATATTTGTTTTTTTCTGTTTTTGAGGGCATCTTAATTTTAGTGTGGCCAGTGTTGAAAGGTGATTCAAAATGCTTGTTAAGACCAAAATATTTCTGCAGTGGAGCTTTTAATTGTATTATACTATTTCGTGTGTTTGCTTTTCTGTCCATTTGAATATATTGTCTATGCTGCATAGTTTCTTTAACATTCAATTTTTCTGGAGATTCTTGTTTCTTAAAGAATTTTTTTAAAAGTTTGTTTTGCTAATTCTTTTGTAATTTCCCTTCCATTCTTAATCTTCTGTTTGATTCTTGTATTCATTTTTCAACGAAGTATTGTTATCCCTTGGGCATACATTTTTCCTCTTGGTATTTATTTAGTCTCACATTATTGACAATATGGTTGACATCATTTGATTCCACTATGTTTTGATCTACATGTTGATCTACCTATCTACATCTGATCCACATATCTAAATATTGATCTACATATGATCTACATATCTACATACTGACCTACATATTAATTTAAATATTGATCTACATATCGAACTACATATAATCTTCATGTCTACATACTGATCAACATATTAATTTACATATTCATCTACATATCTACATATGATCTACATATCTGCATATTGATCTACATGTCGATCTACATATTGATCTGCATATCGATCTACATATTGATCTGCATACGATCTACATATCTGCATATTGATCTACATGTCGATCTACATATTGATCTGCATGTCGATCTACATATTGATCTACATACGATCTACATATCTGCATATAGATCTACATGTCGATCTACATATTGATCCGCATATCGATCTACATATTGATCTACATATGATCTACATATATACATACTGATCTACATATTAATTTGCATATTGATCTATATATTGATCTACATATCTACATATGATCTGCATATCTACATATTGATCTACATATGTGCATATTGATCTACATATTGATCTACATATCGATCTACATATTGATCTAAATATCTACATATGATCTGCATATCTTCATATTCATTTACATATCTGCATATTGATCTATTGATCTACATATTGATCTACATATTGATCTGCCTATGATCTACAAATTTACATACTGATCGGCATACTGATCTACATATTAATTTACATATCTGCTTATTGTTCTACATATTGATGTACACGTCTGCATATTGATCTACATATTGATCTACATATCGATCTACATATAGATCTGCACATGATCTACATATCTACATACTGATCTGCATAGTGATCTACATATTGATCTATATATCGATCTACATATTGATCTGCATATGTACAAAAACAAAGCATATCTACATATTGATCTGCATATCGATCTACATATTGATCTACATATAATTACTGACATCAGCTACTTTATTAGTGAAATTTGAATTTAACCTTTCATTTTAAGGGCAAGGATGTTATACCTAAAAAAGGCCAATTAATTTATATCCGTATTCTTTAGGAGAGAATTTTTACAAGATATTTATCTTGAGATCAATGAAGAGAATTGTTTTTTTACTGTACTTACTAAGAAAGGAATGGGTAGATAGCAATATTTGTATGTATGGCTGGTCATTTTAGCTTTCAAATAACATCTCTTCATTCTGTAGCGAATATATTTATGTTAGTGGATTACATCTAAGCCAGGTTTAAAACGCCTTACATATTACATTTTTATCTAACGCACTAATCCTTCTTTCTAATCTCATTAATATCGGGCTGGCATGTTTTGTAGACATCTTTATGTTGTGGCTTGAGAAAGAAAGAAAGAAAGACAGACAGAAAGAAAGAACGATAAGAAAATGAAGAAAAAAAGAAATAAGTTAAAAATGAAAAGAAAGAAAGAAAGAAAGAAAGAAAGAAAGAAAGAAAGAAAGAAAGAAAGTCATAGACAGGAAAGAAAGCAGCGGCGAATAGGAGAAAGACGAAGAAATTAGAAGAAAGAGAGAAAGAACAAATCGGCAAGATCAACAAAGAAAGAAATAAAGAGGACGAAATGAAAAGAAACAAAACAAACAGACAAAAAGAAAGAAGAAAAAGACAATAAAAAAAGACGAGGAAATTAGACGAAAAGAAGAAAGAAAGAAAGAAAGAAAGAAAAAGAAAGAAAGAAAGAAAGAAAGAAAGAAAGAAAGAAAGAAAGAAAGAAAAAGAAAGAAAGAAAGAAAGAATAAACAGAGGAGAAAGAAGGTTGTCATGAGAGGGAAAGAATTGATGATAATGAGAGACGACGAAATGGAAAGAGAAGGAAACAAGAAGACATGAAATATCAAACAAGTAAGCACGAAAGACAGAAAAAACGAGAAAACCAAGAGAAAGAAAGAAAGACAGAAAGAATAAATTCAACGAATATAAAAAAGAAAGAAACAAATAAAAAAATAAACAGCAGGCAAATGTGAACTGTAGACGAGAAAGAAAGGACACGGAAGAAAGTCGAAGAAATAGTAGGAGAGGAAATAATAATAAAAAAACAAAGAAAAGACAGGAAGGACGAGACTTTAAGGGAAGAACAATTAAGATAGAAAAAAAGAAGAAAGAAAGAAAATCGAAGAAGATAAAAATAAAATAAATCTCAAAAGAAAATGGAATAGACGTATTCGATACAAATGAACACCATTTTAAACACATTTTAACGAAGGAAGTAGATTAAAATACAATATAAATAAGAAAGAAATATCAATAAGAAAATAAAGAAATACATAACGGTGTTGTTCTGAAAACAATACTTAATTTCTGAAGATGGCACAAAAAGCTTTTCACTTTGTCAAGAACATAATCATTATTAGCAATGACAAAAGCACATTGTGAAAATAATTCCATTATTTTTTGTTGTAATAGTCTAGTAAAAATAGACTGTAGTAAATATATTAGAAAAACCATTATGTTATTTGAATTATAGTAATGCTATTTTATAATATATGCAATATGGAAATATTAAACTAAAATACACATCATAATCCATGTAACAATTACGATTGAATAGGGAATTCGATCCTCACTGGGTGCACCACACTTTCGAACATGAATCACATGTAAGCTACACTTAGAAAATCATTTTTGGTCACTTAAATTGAGTTAAAGTAAGCTGTGTTCCATCTTCAAGGCTCAAAAAAAATATTTCGCTTGAAGATGGAACAGAGCTTACTTTAACTCAATTTAATTCAAATATTTATATTGAAGTTTTCGGCTCTTGTTTTGAAACATGAGACCTCTTATAGCGCGAGTTGGAATCATATTTTTAAATAAATAATTATATATATATATATATATATATATATATATATATATATATATATATATATATATGCCAAGTATGAGATTCGTGCATGCGGAATAAATTCCAATAACCCAAAAAATACTATTCTTAAAATAGTGCTTGATACAGAGTAGAGCAAATATAATTTATTCGAAAATTATAACATAAATATGTTATTGTTATAAAATCGCGAGAAAAATATTGTTTCAACACTTCTGGTGTTTTATCAAGTGATGGTGTTGAATGTAGAATAAATAGTTTAAAACTTTTTATTCTACATTCAACATCATCACTTGATAAGAAAACAGTGTCGAATGTAGAATAAAGAGTTTAAATATCTTTATTCTACATTCAACAGCATCACTTGATAAGACACAAGAAGTGTTGAAACAAAATGGCTATTTTTGTAGTGATTTTATAACATATTTATGTTATATTAATGTCTCAATGAATAGTATAGACATATTGTGTTTGCTTATATACTGATTATTTCCAGTTATCTATTCAGTTTCGTAATGTTGAGATGAAATTTATCAAGGAATTCGAGGTAGTTTTTTTTTTTTAAACCCAAGTACTTTCGACCTATGCTAAGATCATCTTCAGGAGTAAATTACAAAGACAAACATGCTATTGTAACTGCGATAAAATTTGCATTGTGTTGTCATGGTGATATTTTAATGTTATATTTAGAATCTTTACAAAACAATCTTTCACTATAAGGAAACTGACCTGGTAATAAATTTTATTGTGTATTATACACACACACAAATATATATATATATATATATATATATATATATATATATATATATATATATATATATATGGTAACTATTCTCGTTTCGAAAAACCTTCGAATTTATGATTTGCCAATAATCAAATCAATCTCGAAGGAAAAAAGGTTTTAAAAAAGAAAGAGCTAGAAACATGAAAGTCTGTCGAAAAAAAATCGCACAGATACAGGTTTGAAACCCAAAGAAAAAAACCCGACACGAGTAAACAACTAACAAAAGAGCTCAATACAACCGTAGAGCAGACCTAGATAAACCTAGTGAGCCAGACAAACCTATATATATATATATATATAAGTTTATATGCATAAAAATTTTCATTAAAAAATTTCATTCGTACCAATATATCACCCATGGATTCCAATAAAATATGATATTAATCATATATTATACAAAATAAAATACAACCAATTTAATTATTCACAATAACTTCTCCCCGCCAACTGATGTATTCCATAAAACCAACATATGTTCCTTGGGAGAATATGTCTCTGACAGAAAAATAAATATATTTGCATATACGATAACGCCATTATCAAGACATCTTACTCTACTTGTCTGACCATTCGTGTATTTCGAGATAATTACACCAACATTTCTCTATATATTCATAGTATAGAAAAATACACAAGTATATAATAGGTGTATACGGAATGAATTCCAAAAACCAACAATTACTATTCTTAAAAGAGTGCTAATTACAGAGTAGAGCAGATATAATTATTTATTTTAAAAAATTATAACATAAATATGTTATAAAATCCCTACAAAAATAACCATTTTGTTTCAACACCTCTGGTGTCTTATCAAGTGAAGATGTTGAATGTAAAAAAAAAAAAAGATAAGACACCGGAGGTGTTGAAACAAAATGGCTATTTTTGTAGTGATTTTATAACATATTTATGTTATAATTTTTAAAAATAAATAATTATATATATATATATATATACGCGATGGGTAAACTGTCGTCTAAATTAAGCAAAAATGAAAATAACACTGACATCTCATTTTTACAGATATATTTAACAAAATTACACAAAAGTATCTTCAAATAGTAAAGAGCAAATGTATACAATAAAATTGGCTTCAACGACGCTTTCCAGCCAACTTCGGAATCTCCCGCAACTCTAATCGCCGGTTTCTTTGTTTAAGTTGGTGAATACTGCTACAATCTTTGCCTTCAGTTCATTTTTGGTGTTCCAAAGGGTTTTGTTCGTCTCTCGCTCAGCTGCGCACTACACATAATAATCAAAGGGTTGTAAGTCTGTGGAGTTAGGTGGACAGATGTAAGGCGTGATGTGGTCGTAGAAATTGTTTGGCAACCATGACCGGGTTCTGTAGCTTGGGTGGCATGGTGCAGAGTCCTTTTACTAGATACAGTGTCTTCCAGCTGCCACACTCTTGACCAAGGAGGAGTGTGGAACCACCTCTTAATTGTGGTTGTTCCCAGGTTCAATCTTACCCGGGGCTGTAGTACCTGTTAGGGTCCCAGCTATGGGCAAATAGGGAACCCCAAAACAAAAACAAATCACTATGAATGCATTATCAAAATACATTTTTATAGTAAAATTACCTATCAATGCTTATTTACAGTAACGTTACTAATAATACCTATTTATAGCAAAATTAGAAACAATACCTACACAGAGTGCGATATATAAATTGTCGTCTAAATTACACAAAAATGAATACAACACTGATATCTCATTTTAACAGAGATATTTATCAAAATGACACAAAAATATCTTGAAATACTAAAGAGTAAATGTATTCAATAAAATCGCCATGACATTAACTACGGCCTTCAGACGACTTCGGAATCTTCTGCAACTCCTCTGGATGATCTCCTTGTTTAAATTGGTAAATGCTGCTATAATTTTTGCCTTCCGTTCATCGTTGGTGTTACAAAAAGAGTCTCGTTGGCCTCTCGCCCAACTGCGCCTTACCCATAATAATCAAGGCTCGTGATGTAAGCCTCCTTGTTGGGTTTGGGGCCCTGTGGGAAATTGAATGGAGGCATAACGTTGCCATCATTTCAAACAACTTCATAATCATCATTAGACTCCTCCAGCTCTTTCTGAATCACTTTACACTATCCGAAGCTGGACTCCCAAACACTGAGAAATGTTTGTATTGATGCTTCCAGTGCGAATGCCAAGCAGTACAGCATGCCGTTGCCTTATTTCTGGTGGGGTGAATTGTGTTATGATGCTCCTTTTCTCACAGACAGTGCCCAACTCAGTCTATTATACTGTGCTGTCGCCAAAATCAAAAACAAAAAACGTGAATGCGCGAAATGAAAACAAATAAAAATGGCGACAATTTACCCATCTTGTATAAAGAAAGGGATGGATTTTTATTTATTAATCTGACAGATTTTGTAACTTAAACGTCATTTTTAGTGGATACTCGTATTTGCGTAGAAGCTACGTTTATATATTAAACAGTATATTTATTTATTTTCGTCTACCGGACTGAATATTCCAATAATCTTATTGAGAGAAAAATATGCCCTATTCAGGCCGGTAGACGAAAATAAATAAATAAATAAATATACTGTTTAATATATAAACGTAGCGTCTATGCAAATACGAGTATCCAAAAATAAAAATTTATTTAATAATAATAATAATAATATATAGCTTCCAGAACAAGGATATACATATATATATATATATATATATATATATATATATATGAATATAAAAGTGAACATTGGAGTCAACATTCAGAGGCGACAGTCTGTTTCATGCTGGACGAAATCATCAGACCTGACGAGTGCGCCCAGCATGAAACACATTAATAGTAATAATAATAATAATATATAGCTTCCAGAACAAGTATATATATATATATATATATATAAGTGAACATTGGAGTCAACATTCAGAGGTGACAGGCTTTTTCATGCGAGGCGCAATCGTCTGGCCTGACGAGTGCGTCCAGCAAGGAACAGCCTGTCGCCACTGAGTGCTGACTTCAAGGTTGCTTTCTTTTATATTCATATCTACATACGCTCTATCTCTGATATTGAGCACTTTATCCCATAAATATAGCACACCTTAAAACTATATCTCTTCATACATACATACATACATACATACATATATATATATATATATATATATATATATATATATATATATATATATATATATATATATATATATATGAAAAGTGTATATAAATATAAATAAATATATATATGTATAATTATTTATATATTATATGCGCGGTACTTATTAGAAAGCGCTCAATATCAGAGATAGAGCTAACATATTTGGTTGGATAGATGTGAGTTTGTGACCCTGAGTTTCACGCTTTAGCGATCGTCAGACAAACTGATTAATGTTTTAAAAAATTTGGGTTTATGTAGATTGTGCGTATTGATGTTATTATTATCCTGATAATAGGTATTCTGTGTAAAATTATGGTAGTTGAAGATTGCTATAATTTTTAATTTTTAATTACAAAATTATTATTGTTATTATATTAAAGCTGCCTGGTAATAGGTGTTTGTTCTCATGGTTACATATGGAAATTATATCTGATCATATTGTTTTAAGGTATTAAATATGCTGGGGGAGTAATAAAGATTAATATAGATATGTATAGACATAACACCACCCGTATACATACATGTGTCATAGCCGAAACTGCCCACATAAGTTTATATATGTATGAGTCCTGACGGACGACCAGGTATGTATATGTGTCTGCATATATCGATGTTTGCGTTAGGACGATGAATGACAAAACGACGAAGTTTCCCCCACCACTTCCACAATAACACCAATATACGCAATCTACATAAACCCAAATTTTTTAAAACATTAATCAGTTTGTCTGACGATCGCTAAAGCGTGAAACCCAGGGTCACAAACTCACATCTATCCAACCAAATATATATATATATATATGTATATATGTATGTATGTGTGTGAGTGCGTGTGTGCGTGTGTGTGTGTACCCATGTTCTGGAAGCTATGCGGTGTTCCTTTGGAGCCAGAATAATAAAAAAGTAACATTTCTAATTAATGTTTAATTTATTCGTTATGGATTTAATCCCGATCGAACTTTTAGGACAGAATGATAAATCTGTTTTAACAACAACAACAAAAAAAACAACATTTATTTGTAATAGATGTAATTCTGATTTCTAGCAATAAAAAGACACAAATATACACTGTAATTCTGTACGAACAATTTATGATCTCTTGCCTACAAGTTTTGTTGTTTTCTTTTTTAGGAATAATATATTACATTCTTCAGAATAAATATAAATTTAAACTTCGGTTAATAAGAAGACTAAAGCCGATCCTCTAAAACAAAGCATTTGATATATTTCCTAACTTATTTCACAAAGTGTCGATGTGCATTGTCATTCTAAACAATAGTGCACTTTCTTTACTCCAAATCAGGAAGGAAATATGTTTGGGAATTTTGCGATGACTGTTTTCAGACAAAATAAAAGTAAAGAATTACAGTATAAGAAACATCGAAATTATTTGTAAAGAATATTATCACTATTTGCAGTAAGAATAAAAGTCTTTTATTTCAGGAATAATATTCTAGGAACAGAGGAAAAGAAAGAATGAAATCAGACAAATATGGCAAAGCGGAAACAGAAGACGAAAAAGAAAATCAATAATAAGAAAAAAATATTAAAAATGGAAGAGAATTAAAAAAAAGAAAAAGAAAGGGATTGAGCAATGAGAGAAGAAAACAAAATAAATTCAGAGAGAGAGAGAGAGAGAGAGAGAGAGAAGGAGAAGAAATTGAAAGGAGAATGAAAAAAATAAAGAAAACGGGAGCAGAAAGGAAAAAAAGAACGAAATTGAAGGGAGAAAGAAAAAGAAGAAAAAATAATAGAAAAAATAAGAAAAAAAATGAAGAGCGGGACAAAAGAAGAAAAGGAAGAGAAAACAGAGAGCATAAAAAAGAAAGAGGACAAAACAGGTAGAAAAAGAAAAAGAAAAGAAAGAAATCGAATGAAAACGTAAAAGAAAGTCCAATGGAAAAAGATAAAAATAGACAGAAAGAACAAAAGAGGAAAAGAAAAAAAAAAAGAAAAAGAAAAATAGAACAGAGAAAGATATAAAACGACAGAAAGAGAAAAAAAAAAGGGAGAAAGAAGGAAACTGAACGAAGAAAAAAATAGAAGCACTGACTTCCCCTGCTATACTCTATTAAGACCCACACCAGATCAAAAATGGAGCACTGATGCCATATCTGGGCTGGAGCTGCCCAGGCCTCAATTGCTTGTCTTGATAGAGTTATAAGCCTATACGCGACCTTGTGGGTGATTAATTATTTTCCACCCCATAACTCCCCCAAAACATACGTAACGTTGCACACCTCTCGCTTTTTCTCGTCACTCTCTCGCTATTTCATGACGTGTTCTGACGAGCTACATTCCTTAGACTCATCACCTTTAACCTTTAAATCTAGGACACGCGTACACAAAGGTTAATCATCCCCGTCTCCTTCATCTTCCATCAGTAAGGACTACGTTTCATTCGGACAGCTTATATCCAAGAAATGTTGAATTGTGGAACAGACACCCTGCAGGATGTTTTCCCGATCACTATAATCTTGACCTATTTAAGTTCAATCTTAACTCTCATTTCCTGCATAAGCGCATGAACTTTTACTTCTTGTCATATTTTACGTTCGTACACCATTACACAGTAGCTCCAGTCCCGTTCCGTCCTGGATAAGACGATAAACTACATCCACGTCCTGGATAATATTATAAAATACATCGACAGCAAGGCCTCTGATCCGGAGGTTTTGAGGAGCGTGGAACCACCCCTTAATTTCCTGTGTTTCAGGTCCACCGGGACCCGGTGTGGTAGCACCTGTTAGGGTCTCAACTATGGGCAAATAGTTAACCTCCTAAATGGGGCCAAAACATTATAAATGCAAAAATAGGTTTTAATACCAGCAATGATTTTTTTAAGAAATAAATTATTATCAACAAAAAAAAAAAAGTATTAGCAGCAATAAAAAATATTTCCGGCATTAAATAACCTATTGAGAATGATATAGTGTAAAACAAACTAAACCAAACCAAACCTGCCATGTGTGGCTCTTGGGCCTAGAATTGGGTTAACATTATTGTAAGAAATGACAAAATCTGACCAAGAAAGAAATACTCAAATGTAAAGCAACATAACGAAAATTGATAAAGACGTAAACAGTAAAGTGGGAAGAAGAGAAGAAAAGATGAAAAAAAAAAAAAATGAAAGAAGAGAGACAAAAGAATAAGGCAAAAACATTGAAAGATAGATAGATAGAGAGATATATATATAGAGAGAGCAAAGCAAAAACATAGATAGATAGATGGATAGATAGATAGATAGATAGATAGATAGATAGATAGAGCAAAGCGAAAACATTGATAGATAGATAGAGATAGATAGATAGAGAGAGAGAGAGAGAGAAAGAGAGAGCAAAGCGAAAACATTGATTGATAAATAGATAGAGATAGATAGATAGATAGAGAGAAAGAAAGAGAGAGCAAAGCGAAAACATTGATAGATAAATAGATAGAGATAGATAGATAGATAGATAGAGAGAAAGAGAGAGTAAAGCAAAAACATAGATAGATAGATAGATAGATAGATAGATAGAGCAAAGCGAAAACATTGATAGATAAATAGATAGAGATAGATAGATAGATAGATAGAGAGAGAGAGAGAGCAAAGCGAAAACATTGACAGTTAGATAGATAGATAGATAGATAGATAGATAGAGAGAGAAAGAGAGCAAAGCGAAAACATTGATAGATAAATAGAGATAGATAGATAGATAGAGAGAGAGCAAAGCGAAAACATTGATAGATAAATAGAGATAGATAGATAGATAGATAGATAGATAGATAGATAGATATAGATAGAGAGAAAGAGACAGAGAGAGGACTCGAACCAAGGAAAACTGAAACACGAAATAAAATTTAAAAATTCAATCATTAAAGAAAGAAAAATGACAAGACAAACCGGAAGTAGAAAGAAAGTTGAAAATTAAAACGCCAATATAAATATGAAGAAACGAAAGGAAACCAGTAAAAAAAGAATTAAAATAAACAGAATTCCAGAATGAAAAGAATAGAAAAAGAATAGAAAGGAATCATTATTTCAACTTAGAGAAAATGAAATCGTACGTGAAACGTGTAAGGCACCTTGTTATTCCAGGACAGAAAGTTATAAAGTTAGAGAGGGCGAATATCATCGTGAATAAGTTGAAATGATCCTGGAGTAATATATATATATATATATATATATATATATATATATATATATATATATATATATTAAATTAGGCAGTATGTATTTTATATATAAAGAAATAAAGATGTTTTTTTTTTTAAGAATGTGTTCTTTATTGCGGCTGTTGATTAGTTGTCTTACGGCTACTGTCTGCGATGGAAGTTACTCCAAGGAAGCTTACGAAAATTGTAACGCTGCACGAACACACTTACTAGTGAGCAAATCAAAGTACTATACACTGGCTCGGAAACTCCCCTGATTTAAATCCAATCGAGAATCTGTGGTCAATCTGTAAGGAACGACTTCGTGGAATTGATATACAAAGTACTAACATGTGCACTGGGTCATGATTCATTGGAAAATATGAAAAAAGTAAATAATAACGGAATTATTCGTTTTGCTTCAATTAATTTGAACAATGGTGTACTTTTGTAAATCTTCCTTTTGATGGCGCTCACTGATCGTTGGTTGAGCCTATTTAAAAAAAAGCGTTTTGAAAGCTGAATGCCATGCTAATCAGGCCTTGTTCATTTGCCACAACGGGATCTTGTGCCAGACTTGGCAAGGAATAATGGAGAAGCAATGAATCTCTAAGAAACGCGCGAAGGATGACGGGAAATCAGATAATTTTCTAGGTATTAAATACAGCAGAAAATAAGAGTGAAATTCCCTGGAGCCACGTCTTAAAATAACTTGCTTTGCAGTTTATAAATTATGTGACGTGTAGGAGGTAGAACATTCAGCAGGTCTAACGTATCTCTTCACAATTCAGCTAGAAAGATTCACAATGGCATAAATGCATTCCCCTTCAACAATGACTCTGTAGTCTGGCGCATCATCAATAGGTTTATTACTGAGGGGAAAAAACACACACGATATGATTTGAACCAAATAAATGTTTTAAAAAGCAATAAAACACTGACGAAACCATAAAATAAACAAAATAATCACAGACAAGCATTTGAAGGTCAAGAAATCAATAATGATATTTACGACAGGGATGTATCGTATAGTGGTAGAAGGAGAATAAGAACCATGTTTAGTCAAAACTAAGGAATCGTAGAATAATGGGTCGTCAGTTCCTGTTTAATAGAAGGAGATAGGTTCGCCTATCGGCAGGTTTCCATTCTTTAACCGTTTTTTAGTAGGAGTAGAGGTTTATACCTTGTTTGCTGTTAAGGATTCGGTTTTCTTGTTAATTCTAAAGAAGCTACTGGCATGAGATCGCTGGAAAATGAGCATAGCAGGATAATAACGGCCTTGAACTTGACAAAAACAAAATTTCATTGTCAATATGTATATGTTTTTATTAAGAGTAAAGATCAATGTAATTTTTAATTATTTTTCAAAATTTTCCTGTCTTTATTAGAGCATTCTAACGTTTGATTGAAAAACCTCGTTTCTCTTCATCAGCGAAAGTCCTAGTAAATAACATGGAGGATTTTATGTGCGTTTATTTTATGGCGGTCATTAATTTTGAAAATCTTAGAAAAAATAAAAATAATTGTTGGATTTTAATTAAACTTTCAGAAACTATTCATAAATGATGGAAATTATTATAAATATGTTTATTTTTTTTTTAAGTCAGGGTAATTTTTTTATTATATTTATTGCTCCCACTAACTAATTTTATGAAAACTCTTGAAATTCAAATGTGTACATTTTTAGTGATTAATTATTTAAAAGCACAAGGTTTTGAAGAAAGCATTTTTTTTTAGTTGACACGCTTCTACCCTAAAATCAGCTCTGAATTGTAACATACAAAACTCAATAAAACAAAAATATTATTTAATTACAAAAGCTTTTAGTTGCTTTTACTTGTTTTTATGAATATGGATAATATTTTCTGAAAGTAAAACGTTTTCGAAGAAAAATAAATTTTTACAACAATTATTTGTTATTTCTTAAATTATTTTATTTTTTTACATTAAAGTTGTTAAATATTATAAAATTAATGAAAATGTTGTACAGTTTAGTCAATGGTGTTATTAAGTAGATAAATATCATTACAGATCATAAAATAACGCTGGTTACACTCAGCAATCTGCAAATAGATAAAAATCTAATATAACCTGTTTTTTGTGTCCAAAAATTGCTTAATTCTTATATACGGAAGACCGGAACCATCATGAAAACTATAGTCAGGTGGTTTGCGTTGGTAGTAACATAAATATTTAGACAATAAAATTCTGCTTTTCTCAAGTTTAAGGCTGTTTCTATCATGCTATGCCCACTTAAAAATAACGCGGTAAATAAGTGGTTCACGTAAGGCTAAACTGTCACTTGTGACCTTCCGTACTATAACTTCTCCTCCCGTATGATGTCAGTGAGTGATGTAATCATGCACATTTCACTTGTCAATGAACACCGCTGTTAACACCGGCTTTCTCTCATTTTAAAGTACATTTTTTCTAGTGCATAAGGTAAGTAATGTTTGTTTTAAAATTTATTAATTAAACTTTATAATTTCTAATTTTATTAAATTAATTTTTAAAAAATCATAATTGATTTTTAAAAGAATTTTAAACGGACACTTTCACTTTTGTAAACAAAAGTTTAAAAAAGTGGCTGACGATTGATTTTCTGTCAATTTGGCTGATCAAAAAAATACAAGATTTTTAACGAAAATTTTGCACGTGCTAGGGATTATTAAAAAATGTTAAAAAATAATGAAAAATACTTTGATCTTTTCTCTTGATAATAACATAAACATTTAGAAGATAAAAAATGATTTTTATCAAGTTTAAGATCGTTATTTCCTGCTATACTCATTTTCCAGGGATCTCATGCCAGTACCTATTCTACGTCTTTTTAGTTTTTAACTCGCAGTGACCCCTTGCCTCCTAGTGGCGTTATCGGCTTGCTTGGGGCGTAATGATAAAACAAATATGTCACAGGAACAGAGAACAAGGAAACATGGATGATGCAGAGTAGAGAGGTCTAAATTTCTGGGATGACGAGTTATGACTATAATCCTCATTGTTGTCGTTATCCCGCGACAATAGCTAAACAGATTAAAGGATTGGTTCGTTGACATTTGGTGACACAGCGATTATGAGTTCATTTCCTAGGACGGACAGTGTGTACTTGGATTCAGTGGAAATGCGACGAGCAATAACTGGGCAGTACTAAAAATAAGAACAAAACAAGATATCCTTCGACATAGCCAGTGAAACGAGAACAGAGTCTACCACCGTAAATTTAACTTCCCCATTGTTCACATGAGCTGTCCATGCTATTCTCAGCAGCCTTCTGTAGAACAACATCTCTGTTATCCCCAGCCTCCCCTTTAATCTTTTTCTTTGTGTGCCGTTTCCACTGAGGCCGGAGAGAGCTATGGCTTTCTTTGTACCTCTTAAGAAATTTTGTCTTTTTTTTTTCTCCTAAAACCTGTTCCGCCATCCACTTACTTAAGCTCACTAAATATGTTATAGTTTGCTTTTCCTCTGTCGCTTTTGCCCCAATCTTTCCTGTGAGTACCAGATTTTCCAAGCCATATTTTCTCACTTTATGTTCCAGACATTTCAACTGTCTCTTCCTGATGTTACGTATAAGTTTCCTTTATGTTTTCATTTTCTTTACAACCTAGCCGGTCCATGCTATCCTCAGCATGCTCCTGTAGAAGCACATTTCTGTTGCTTCAGGTTTCGTCTTCATCTGTAAGGAGATTGTCCAGCACTCAATGCCATACAGGAGGACATATATGACGTAACAGTTCTGTACACTTTTCCTTATTTCTAGCGAAGTTTTTATTTTTTAATATTTTAGGTTTTGCAAGGCATCTATGGCTACCCTAAAGCATCTTCGGATTTCAGTATCGCACTTTGCATCATCTGTTAAAATTCTCCCTAGATACTTAAATGTTTGCGCTTGTTCGGCTTTGGTATCTCCGATTTGCAATCCGGCTCAACTTTTTGCTAACAACCATGTTTTCTCTTTTGTTGTAGTTGTCCTTTCTTCTCGCTTTCATTCAGGTGTAGGAGTTTTTAATAGCCAAGTCTTATTCTGTAGGAGTTTTTAATAGCCAGGTCTTATTCTGTAGGTGTTTTTAATAGCCAAGTCTTATTCTGTACGTGTTTTTAATAGCCAAGTCTTATTCTGTAGGAGTTTTTAATAGCCAAGTCTTATTCTGTATGTTTTAATAGCCAAGTCTTATTCTGTAGGAGTTTTTAATAACCAAGTCTTATTCTGTAGGTTTTTTAATTTTAAGGAGTTTTTAATAGCCAAGTCTTATTCTGTAGGAGTTTTTAATAGCCAGGTCTTATTCTGTAGGTGTTTTTAATAGCCAAGTCTTATTCTGTAGGTGTTTTTAATAGCCAAGTCTTATTCTGTAGGTGTTTTTAATAGCCAAGTCTTACTCTGTAGGAGTTTTTAATAGCCAAGTCTTATTCTGTATGTGTTTTTAATAGCCAAGTCTTATTCTGTAGGTGTTTTTAATAACCAAGTCTTATTCTGTAGGAGTTTTTAATAGCCAAGTCTTATTCTGTAGGAGTTTTTAATAGCCAAGTCTTATTCTGTAGGTGTTTTTAATAGCCAAGTCTTACTCTGTAGGAGTTTTTAATAGCCAAGTCTTATTCTGTATGTGTTTTTAATAGCCAAGTCTTATTCTGTAGGTGTTTTTAATAACCAAGTCTTATTCTGTAGGAGTTTTTAATAGCCAAGTCTTATTCTGTAGGAGTTTTTAATAGCCAGGTCTTATTCGGTAGGTGTTTTTAATAGCCAAGTCTTATTCTGTAGGAGTTTTTAATAGCCAAGTCTTATTCTGTAGGTGTTTTTAATAGCCAAGTCTTATTCTGTATGTGTTTTTAATAGCCAAGTCTTATTCTGTAGGAGTTTTTAATAGCCAAGTCTTATTCTGTACGTG